AATCGAAAAACTATATTTTGTATGAGATTTCGAAGACAATACATTCCGTTTTTTGTTGACTGAATTCTTTTTTTGTTACCTCCACTTGTTTTTAGAATCAGAATCAAGCATAGTTCAGTCATAAGCCAGTAATTCTTCAAACAGCCACAAATCAGGCCTATTTGGTACTTTTGATATTTTAAAGGACACTTTTGTCTCGTCTCCGCTCTACGTCCTCATAGAAAAAGTTCTACAATTTGCACTCTGCTGACAATTTAGAATAAAGTGAACCACCTTGTATCTGACTGTTCTGGTAGAAAAATTATTTGTCTTTGTTAGTAACCATTAAAAGTTTAAACCCATTGTAAGAATGTTCAAAACTGCCTCCCTCACAACGCTTTTTTCTAAGTACTGCCCGTAAAACGTTTCTAGATCATGTCTGATAGCGTGCGGACGCACCGTATGTGACATCAGAATGTCCTAATAGACCAGCATTAGTGGACTAGCTGCTGTAGGGTATTGATTTTAACTTTTCCTAACTTACTTTTCTGACATTCTAATTACATTGCCTTTTAAAGCAAAGGAGTGTTTTATTTGCCTTTAAACACGAGGCGAAGCTGGCTGCTTCGGTTAAAAATTGAAATATAAGTTTATTGAATGGCTTCTAAATCATAAATAAAGAAAAATTAATTTTACAGGATAGTTCTCGTGCTTTGGTGATTTACTTACTTTCTTAAAAGGTGAGCTAAAAAATCAGCTAGGTTAACTCAGATTCAAGAATCATATTGAACATTAATTTTCTTTGTATTTTTGTTATGAATTATTAATAGTTTTTTGGAAAATTTTACGAAGCAAATTTCAATAACAGAAAACTTTCCATAAATCAAGGATAACATCTCATTGGTAACATAACGGACAAAATCACTTAACGGTAAGAAGTTCTGTTTCCACGAGAAATTTCTCACAAGTTTTTTTCGTATTACTCCCTGAATATTTATACAGTTTTTTTAACAAAACGGAGTGAGCTTGACGCCTATAAGTCGAACCTTGCCTGAAAAAATAATACTGGCTTTAGAAACGATGCAAGAAAAAACACCACTTTCGTCGGCGTCAGGTCTTTTACTTTGCGTTCTGAACGTCTCTTTATCCTATACTGCTATCATGTCAAACACTGTCACCGTACACGCGGTACGAAAGACATCATCCTTGTCAAAGAATTTAAAAACATTGCTCTTGAGTCAGGCTGTCTCTGATATCGGCGTTGGTTTAGTGGCGCAACCTTTGTATGTCGCACGTACGATCCTCTATTGGAGTCAGGGTACTGAAAACAATCCAACATATTTTGCCATAATGATAATGCACATCATCGCGTCGAATCTATTCAGTTTTGCAACGATCCACGGCGCTATGGCGTTGTGTATCGACAGATTCATGACCGTTCATCTTCACCTCAGATACCAGGAACTAGTGACACACAAGCGAGTTGTTGGTGTGGTAATCTTAATTTGGGCATTGAGCGGATTTCTTTCATTCACCAGGCTGTGGATGTCAATAAATTTCATGTACGCAATTCTCGCGGTCGTTATATCCGCTTGTATTGTAACGGCAACTTTCTTTAGTGTCAAAATTTGCTGGTTTGTACGGCGCCACGTAAGTGAACTTCACGTTTTGCAGGCACCACAAGTAACGCAGAACGGTCAAATGGCTAATATCTTACGGCTGAGAAAGTTCGCGATTGCGTCAGTTTACTTACATCTGGTTTTTCTGATTTGTTATTTGCCAAATATTTTCACCTCGTTTGCTGTCGCTTTCACCTCCTACCCATTGAGCATTAAACTAAAGGCTTTACACGGTTATAGCCTGACACTCCTCTATCTCAATTCATCCATTAATCCGCTGATTTACTGCTGGAAGATGAAACACATCCGCCATACAGTCATTAACATTCTAAGGAACACATTTTAAAGCCACAGTTGAGGGAATAGAATTTGAGGAACTTTGAAGAAAAGATGGTTCTTTCAATGGGGTAAAGGCAAGAAATCGGTTTGAAGCGACTTCATAAAAATATGTTATTGTAAATAAGTTCAATTTAAGTGACGTAGAAGAGTCATAATATATAGATTTAGCAAAGGCTAAAGGTAAAGCTACTTTTGATAAATTTATCATTTATTTAAAACAATAAACTTGTAACCATCGCGTTGAAAACTAGTAACTTGTCAGCGGATAACTTCAAAAAACAAGTGATCTCTATGGGTCGACTTCTGAGCCCGCAATACGGTCATGTGATATTGGTCAGCAGGTACCCTGTTTTGACAGCTATAAAAATTAACCAAAACATGGATGCGCAGTATCAGGTTGCAGGCTTCCACAATAACTAGAAAAATAGAACATTGGTTTACTTGTGTTGCGGACGGACAGACGTACGGTCACGAGACTACCAAAATTTTCTCGGATGGAAAGATAACCAAATTTTCTTATCCAAGGGTCACTGCTGAAAATACGACACACTTAATAACAGAGGAAGGAAATAGACTGACAAGTTTATGCACAACCGAAGAACCAAACCCAAAACAGCACGAGCCAGCAAATGTTCCCGTTGACTGCTCGTCATTAAATGTGGGTGGAAGGAAGGGAGGGAGGAAGGAAGAGTACGAAAGCAAGGATGGAAAAAGGGAAGGGAAAGGAAGGGAGGAAAGGAGGGAGAAAGGAAAAGGAAGGGAAGGAGTAAGGACAAGGAAAAAAGTAAAAAGGAAGAGAGGAAGGAAAACAAAGTAAGGAAAAGGAAGGAGGGAGGAAGGAAGCAAACGGAAGGAAAAGAAGGGAAGAGGAAAGGGGGCAAGGAAGGGAGGAAGGAAGGAAGGGGGAAGGGAGGACGAAAGGTAGGAGGGAGGAAGGGAGGGAAGATGAGGGAACGAACGGGGGGAGGAAGGAAGGAAAAGAAGGGAGGAGGGAAGGGAGGAAGAAAGGAAGGAGGGAGGAAGGAAGGAAAAGGAAGGGCTAAATGAAGAAAGAAGGGAGGGCTGATCAATGACGGAAAATGTTTTAACTCTGAAAAGACTTGAAGAAGGAGAAGGGAAAACGAAATAGTGGGCTTCTGTGCCTTTAATTCTATGGTAAGTGTTTTCGGAAAATGTGCAAGATCTGTATGGTTCAACGCTAAAGGAACGTCCGAGAGCTTTAACGATTACCTATCGCGTTTTGGCTTAGAAATGAGAATTCAAGTCACTTAGAGAAAATCAGAGCTCCCCTACTGAAGTCAAGAAAAGATTTTTCGTGGAAGGCCCGCCCCATTAAATGTCATGATAGATGAAGCTAATAAATACAGTTAACGTTTGAGAAAACCAAACATCTTCCACTTGACAGTTTTCAATTTTATTTGACTATCAGCATCACAAGCTTTGTGCATTTTTTTAAACCATTTCTTAACGAGATTATTTTCCTAGCTAAATGTCAATTCATTAACTATAAAACAGTTTGTATTATTGCACTATTTACGTTACAATCGTAACGCAGATGAGTATTGAAACTTTCTTCGTTATTTAATTTCATAATAATCAATACATTCCTTACAGCAAAACAACTTTGGCTAGATTTCTTTACTCTCGCTTCATTCAACCCACCTCATGTACGACGTACCGAAGTGTAAACTAAACGCCTTCCCACGTTATATTCAATAAGGCAATATAGTGTACGCCTTCAATTATCACGTGTCTAATTAATTCTTCTAGAATTAGAATATTATAGTATTGCATGCGTTTGGTCAGCGGTACTACCAGAGAATACTACGCGACAGTCTATGTCCCACTTGCCAGCAAGAGGAGCGAGAGGTCTGGGGACCATCTGGTTTAACTCCCAAAAGAGGCTTAAAAGCATTCTTGACATAAGACGCGAGAAAAATAGGAGAACTCTAAAGAATTTAACTGTCTTTCATCTCTCACAAAAATCATTAAAGCTAATTTTTGCAAATCTTGAGGCCCTCAAATTCTAGGTCAGAAACAACAATAGGTTCAACACCTCTCAGTTGAAAGCTCTATAATGGCTTTTGTTACAAGACACAAATTACCAATTACAATAATTATTACTGTTACAAAATTTAATTTCGGCTTTAGAAAAATACATGAATTCACCTAGTTTACTGTGAACCTTGTCGGGTAACTTAAAATGAAAAGTGCTTATGTGCCAGGAAACTCGATAACAGCGCTAGAATCAGCCATAGCTTAGCCATCATTGCCACTTTTGCTATTTAAGCACATTACATTGGTTGACGTTATTCCCTTTTTATCTCCAACTGTTTTTTCAAGTTTTGTTTTAGCTTATCTAACTGATTAAACCAACTCTCTTGTCAAACGAAGTAGGAAAATAGTTTATCATAAGCTGCAAATTCCTCCCATTGTATTGGTTTTGTTACCATGGCTACCGAGCTTTCTATCTGTTGCATGTTGTTTCCACCTTTATTGCCCGAGTTATTTCTATCTTGGAGTACTGGTAACCACTCCGCGAGGAGAACACGTGACTTGTGAGCAAGCCGAAAAGGTCGCCATCTTAGAGTATTTTGTAATGAGAAAAAGTAAAAATTTCCATTTCGCGGCAAATCCCTTATTTCTCGTTATTAGCTCTACTTTCTTGTTTTTGGAGCAAAACCGTGTCTTTAAGACAGTAATTCGAACACATTCAATAACCAACCCACCAGATCAACTCGACATTTCTTTCCATTTTGTCCCGTAGGACAAAACCTTTCTGGTGGATTGACCACTTATTGATCACAGACCACAGAGTTTATTAGGAAATTAACACAAAAGCTATGGTTTTGCAATTCAACATCTTCTTAACTACACATTTTTTTTCTCTAGAGATGTCGATTAACATCGAATTTTGAAAAAGGATGCTTTAAGTCAAGCTTTAACTCAAGCCAACATCCTTGTACGAAAACAACGAAGGAAGGAAGTGTATCGTCGTTTAAAAAACATAGCTATCTCTAATTAAATTTTGTAGTAACATGTCTGGCATCTTATGGCAATACACTAGAAAAGGCCAGCTTTCTTCCTCAGATTCGTCTTCTTCCACATTGCCAGCGCATCAAAAGCGGTTCTGGTCATGTTAAACGCTTTCTGCGAAAGGAACAAACCAAAAAAACTTTTAATTCATAAGCCTGAGAAGACAGCCAACACTGGTTTCCCCTGAGGAACGAGCGCAGAAACTCCAAACTGATGAAATGTCACTACCAAGATCTGGGTAGTACTTCAGTTCTGATTGGTCGGGCCAAAAGGGCGATTTACTTCAACCAATCAGAAGCACTAGCTAAATCGCCATCAGTATGGAATTTCTGCGCTCTTTCCTTAGTCGACTCTACGCGGGGAAACCAGACGAAGACTACGAGTAGTACCCATTTTCCCTCAGGGATAAGAGTAGAGCGAAGAAACGCGAGCGCGCGTGAGAATCAACCCACGCGAGAAAGGCGAAAGGCGGAAGGCGAAATGGGGACCACTCGCAGTCTGAACCAGTAGTGGTGTCGGAAATTTTTTCAGGTTTTTTATTGAATAATTCATAAACCCCTTTTAAAAACCTCTTTTATTTGCCAGCAGTCAGGTTGCACAAACTGAAGATGCAGTTCAAGGAGAAATGCAGTTCTTACCTCGAAGTCAGCTTCGCTAAGGTATGTTTCAAGTCTCGAGGGATCCACTCCTTCAGGTGGTGGTTTTTGCTTGAGTTCCTCCAAGCTATACTCTTTTCTACATGTCAAAAAACGAAGAGTTAATGTAAAGAGTAAATGTTAAAACAGTCGATCAAGAAAATTAGAAATTTTTCTCTCTGATAAAACAAACACGGTTCTCCCTAGTTTACGCACGCAGCAAAAATGGAATAAATTCTTTACTAGTTTAATTTACAATAAATAAATAAATAAACTGAGAGATAAATTAATAAATTAATAATTGAAGGACTAAATGTGTTCACACCACCACCGGGACGAAATGCAAAAAGACAAACCTCGAAAGCTTTGCAAGTTCCGTTTCCAGCTTTAGACTATCTCCATCAACCCTTCCAGTCTAAAAGCAACAAAACAGAAAGAGTTCACAGTCAAACGTTTTTGAACCTGGGCTAATTTTCAGAGAAAACCAGCACACAAAAGCCTTGTACAAAATGTTACCCTGAATTGTTTGAAAGAAGGATCAAGAAGGAAAGTCATATTGTAATGCATAAACAGCCGCATAAAAAACCTATGATGTACATCTTCGAGCTGGTACGCTTCTTATTTATAGGATGTGTGAAAACAGCCTAGAGGTCCTTGAAATTGTTTCTTAAATTGCTGTATCTATTAAAAATAAGCTTTTATTGGTAAATAATTTAGTCTGGAACGAGTAAATTTCACATTAAACACTAAATAAATGTAATAAAAGAAGTACTTACCGATCGGTTTATTTTAGCCACATCTGGTCGGTCTTCCCAGAAGGGGAAAAGATTCTGGAAGGACTTCGGTTCCAGACCAGCAAACACAATAAATACTTGGGAGAAATCGCGTTCAAGTTCTGAAAACAAGAAATGACTTCAAGGTTAATGAAGGGAAAACTTGAAATTCGCGGTCTTTTGCTTAAAAAAGAGAGACAAGTTTAGTGCCTAAGTATTATACAGTCGAACCTTCAATGAGCGGCCAGCGGCCTCTTTGAAGCAGACAGCAATCAAGTCCCGAAATAATTGTAATTGTCACCTCAACTAAGCGGCCAGCAAGCAGTTGATACACGTACTTTGGCTTTATTTAAAAAATATGATGAAGGAAAATACAGTCCATGAAAAAAGGTGCGGACCAGTAACGCTGCCTCAGTCGAGTGTTTTCAAATAAAGTGATGTTTCTACTCACGATTATGCTAATTTATGACGAACTTCTATTGAGCGGCCAACCTCTATTAAGCAGCCATGGCCACTGGCCGGTCCCCCAAGGGTAGCCGCTTATTGAGGGTTTACCTGTACTTCCTTACCCTCGGAGACCCAGGTATAGACAGTCGGAATGAAATGTTGGCCGAGGCGAAATCAACGAACGCAAGGTTTGCAGGAAGAATGGGAGGGCTCAGACATAAGATCTTTCCAAACTAGTTCTAGAGAGATTTAAATTCCCAGACCCGTGTGTGGGAGAGGAAATAGTACATTACACGGGTTGGGGAGGGGGCGGGGAGGGGGCAGGGGGATGATGGTGGTGGGAGAGAATAAAACAGTACCTTGAGTGTAAGACTTTATCGTTTCCATTGCCAATCTTCGGTCATTACTCCAACGCGTTTCCGCAGAACCAGTTGTGGAAGCTCTGGATTCTGAATCTTCATCATTCGGCCACCAGCCATGCCACAGATACATTTCATTTACTGCATCTACCAGGAATAATGCTGTGAAGAAACAAACTCGGTAAGAAACTTGCTTTCCTTCACCCTATCAGCTTTTCTGGCAGAGACCTGCCCAAGGAGAATGGGCAACAACGCGGGGCTTCTAGCTACAGGTCTCACGCAAGACGCCTTCCCTTCATAACTAAAAGTTAGCGTACAAAGGACTCCTCGATGACACAACTTTTAGTTATGAAGGGAAGGGGCCTTGCGTGAGACCTGTAGCTAGAAGCCCCGCGTTGTTGACAGTTTGCCTAGGGAAACTTGATTTTTTAGGTGTGACCGATTTTTCCCCAGGTAACTTACCTCGGGAAAATTTTATCGTCTGGGTCTTGGATATGTCTCGAAAACAATAGAGTTTCCCTTGACAGCTACCCCAAAGCAATAGCTTGGGAAAAATGAAATACCGAGGTTGCTAGCCAATAGACGCTCATCGGCGAAGGTCTTGATGACAGAACAGGACATAGATCACGCTGTGAAGGAAATTTTGGGAGCACGAGTCGTCTACGTCTTCGCCTTTCTTCACCTTGCACGTTGAATTAGCGTAAGAAATAACAGCGAGATAAAAGAAAAAAACGTCTCTTTGATCAGCTAGATCCCTGCGCATTTTGCCTGCCGCCTGAAAAGAAAACCTTTAATTTAAACGCCAATAAAAAGAATGTCATCATGACATTCTGTTTATTGGCCCATTTGCAACACTTTCATGTTGCAAAGTTTACTAAACTTTGCAACATGAAAGTGTTTAGTTGATTACAAGTAGGCGCTCAAAGGTATCGTTAAAGAAATAGTAGTTAAAAAACGCTTTCATTTACTTCATTATTTGCGGATGCAATAAAGTGGGTCCCACCGAAAATATGGTTGGACAAGTTTGCCGGAGATTATGTTGAAGTTGAGGAAAAACATAAATTAACATACAAGGCCATTGTTCAAAGCGTCTTAAAACAAATTATGGCCATGTTATGAGTTCGACTACTTTTAATCTAGTCTCGACTAATAAGGAACACGTCATCTAATTAAATATTTTGGAGAATTCACCTTGAAATATAACTTTGACTTGAAATATAACCTAACTGTCATCAGCACCGTGGCGTGTTCAGAAGAAATGCTTCAATCTACTTATCAAAG